GACGGTCTGGTGGTGCACGGCAGGATGCTCGAAGTTCCACAGGCGACCTGGGCTGGTTGGTCACAGTCTGTTGTCCGCAAGTTACAGTTCGAGCTAAAGTCAGGGTATGAAGTGATGAATCGATGCAACGTTCAGTGATGCATAACCATTACTCTCTGGGCTATTCGCTTCAGAATGTGGTGACGTAAAGCTCCTAATATTTAAAGCAAGACGATGTCACGGGCTGGTTACCGACGGATGGCTTAATACGCGGCTGATTGGTGGTCATCCGGAAATATGCTAGGCGTTCCTTTCAAGGCTGATTGGTGCACAAATTTGGTGGTGCGCGGCTGCGTAAATGCGTAACGTACTTTAAACTGGTCCACTTTTTACAAGCGGAGCTTAGCACGATGCTGTCCGAATATCCAGTTCTACAGGTTCCGTCAGACTCGTTTTTTCCACCTTGTCTTCAAAAAAAAAAAGAAACTTATATTGGAGACCAACTTGGCCTTCATTTGAAATGCGAGCCATTAAGAATGCAATAAAATCTGCTTCAGATTTAAATTATACTTCTACGTTGACTTGAAAAGTGCGTCCGAACTAACACTGCAGCTTTACGATCAACTCGTAACATTAGGACACTAATGTTAGGTCACTATACTTGATGATACAGTGCAAATAATGATTTGTCCTTGTGGAAAACTTTGGTCAAACTCTGGTAATTTATGGATATTAAAAGGGTTTAATATTTTCAGTCCCTTTGGAGTTTAAGGCTATACGTAGTAAATAACACTTACGTCAATAGCCTTTGAAAGTATGACTAAAATATAAATGTTGCCCACTCGTATATAGTAACTTTACGAACTTTTCTGAATTTTGTCCTATGACATTTCGAAATATTGTTCAGCTTTTTGGAAGAGACATAACTACCAAACGACAACCTCAGAAAAATTCTAAAATTCTCTTAGAAAATTTCTACGTTTTAATTTTACAGAGAATACTGATTATGCGATTGATATGATGCGGGAGAACTAACACGTTACCTGGACAGCTTAATCTTCATTTTCATCAAAAGTTCTGTACATTAAAGGGCTCCTAGAAGGAAATACACGTGCAGCATGTAATGGCATAAGAGAAACGAGAAAATATGGTTCGGCAGGGCCCAATCATAACGTCATCGGTTCTTGGTCGCTAAGAAGACGTAGGGTGGCATGCCGCAATAGACTAAGCAGGTTGCCAAATCCGAAAATCATAACGGATGAGCACTGTGCTGGTGGCGGACACGCCGAGACTCTTTACCCATCGGTCGCCGTCCAGTTAAAACTTATTAAATACATAATTCAACTTGCAAGGTAGTTCAGGCGGAAGGCTTAGCCGGTCGGTGGCAGCACCATAGTCGAGGGTAGTTCTCAAGGACCGCCACACGGTGACGCATACAGCCATGGTTTTTGATTTAAGTAGTAGACAGTCCATGATCTTGGCAAAGAAGAAGTGGCGGACTACAGCAACGGAGATGAATCTTGGGCTTATCTTTGTAGGCCATCGATCGCATGGTCAATGCGTTACTCCAAAAACGCCCGTTGAGACAGGCGGCTCAATTGAGAATGGGCCGAGTAAAACTCCGTTCAATTGCGGTTTCAAGTAATGCGTCGGAATGAAAGAAGAGCGATAACGACAGTCAGAAAGTCGGGCCGACGCAATATTAATAATGAACGAAATTATATTAGGGTTGTGAGCGAATGTGAGAGTGCCGGGACGTCTGTCGGAGAACACCACTGCCGTGCTTCGAATGGACTATCATGATCCCTCCCCCCAGAACGTAGCCTATTACACTCATTGACAGTAACATTATCAGCCGCAAGCCACCAGACCGATCACATCCATTGAATTAGATGATTGAAATAGATGATTAGCAGAGTTATATTTCAAAATTTATCGTCCTACGACGAGTGCCCGTTCGACCATAGGCTGGTTCGACACACGGGACAGATACGGATGGGTCGATGCCGGGTATCATAATCACTGCAAGGCTCCTTCGCGCTCCGTCCGGATGGTGTAAAATTTTTTCGCGTATTGGCAGACGATGCTGGGCCATACTACGCCAGGCTACTTTCCTGGGGGCTGATTGATCTAATTCAATGGATGTGTTCTGTCTGGTGGCTTGTGGCTGATAATGTTACAGTCAAGAAGTGTTATAGGCTACGTTCTTGAGGGAAGAGATCATGATAGTCCATTCTATGCACGGCATGCAGTGTTTGTCTTCGACAGGCGTCCTCTGCGTTCCCACGTCAACGTGCATCACTTAACAGCCATTGACGAGCCTAAGCGATAACATACAAAACACAGACTCTTCGTCCGAACCGAGTTACAACAATCTGTATTAAAACGATCCTTAATCATAAATAAAAGTAACTTAATTAATTGTTCATGTTTTTATATCTACAGCTCTATAATACTAGTACATGAAGCTTTAATAAAGCTTCATTGTGAATAACAAAATAAGGGTCAATGGAGATTTCAGTGTAAATTTTCACCCGGGTGAGACGAAAATAACCGGCATACATGTTGCTGTTAATCAAAACTACCTTTAATTCCACTTGAAATAATAGGCGCCAAAAGAACACGTTTGTTATTTTATCTGTTTTTATAAATAAGCGTTCATTGCTTATTGGAATCACTCGATTGCATCGATGGAGGCTTCCTTTTGAAATAGCATAACAGAGCTAACACGAAAATATGCATGATAGTAGCTGCGAAAATGACTGATAATCTTTAATTACACAGTTATCGATCAGTAATAAGAAAAGAAACATGTTATATTATTCAATACTTGTGTGGGCACCATCACTTTTCAAGCAAACTCTACACTTTAGCTATCCGATCACTTATCGCATCATTTCTTCATATTATTATTACTTCGTTATTTTTATATTATCCTCGTTTTAATTTCTCCTATAATTATTTATATGTATAAATGATGAATGTTGCATTACCTAAAAAGAGGTAGAAAAAAGTAACAGGCGAATTTGAGAAAAAGGTAATTTAGTTCAGAAGGCTTGGCAAAACTGCTTCCAAAAACTTTCCGGAGGACTTTTGAAGGTGTCAATAAATTCAAGCTGTTCGAAAAAAGCTTCAATTATTTCCAACGCACAGGTTCGGCTACCAGTACCTCCGTAATTGCGGTGCAATGCAGAAGGTGCCAGACAAAGGGCGTTAGATGCTTGAGGCCGCATTCACAACGCGCAGGGCACTGAGGGTAAAAACTTGATAATAACTGACAAAAAAAGTTCCTCTTGCATGCTTGAATGAGCTTAGACTTTGCAAGCAATACGAAGCATTGTATAATTAAAAAAATAGAATAACAGATAAAATTCATGATATTGAATAATTAATTTGGGTGCACGTTGTTTTCGGTTGCTATAAACAACTTTCAATTTGCTGCACATACTTGAAAGCATTATTTGAGATGATTGATAAATGCGGTTCATTCTTTAATGATTTCATATTACAGAAACATTATTTGTTCTTAGGATCCATCTCTTCTAATTACAAATAAATTATCGGAAATTGTACTAGATTTGCTCTATATTATTAGCGTGTCAGGCTGCTTGACGCTAGCATGAGCCAATACTTCCTCGTCCAACTGGGGCCATACTTTCAAACCTCGCTAAGTTAACGTAAGTACTTACGCTCTATTTTCTTGTCTATGATTGATGGATTTTGCCTGAAACGCCGTCAATGATTGGCTGATGAACTTACGATCTCTTAACTTTTTTTGAAAGTATAGGCAATCGATCTGCAGACGCGCGACAGCTTACATGGCCGAGTAATCGTCCTTTTCGCGACGGTAAAAAACTCGCGGTGGGGAAAATCGCAATTAAATTTTTATACAGCCTCAATTGTAGGTTAATGTTGTCTATAGTTAATGCTTTTTACCTGTTTTATTTAAATGGAAGGTTTCGGTTGAATTTAGGTTGAATTCTTATTTGGCCGTTCTAACGCTGCAACATGTTTAGCAGTTTTCTCGAACGATTTTCAGGTGCAACAGGTTTCAGCATAATATGATTGAAATGTACTTGTAGATGAATTACTGTTCTGTTTAAAACGCTGCTTGACATTTTTTTATAATAAATGTATGCAAAGCTCATGGTAATACCTCGGTAAATTCGTTTAATTCAACTCTATCCTTGCCTGCCGTAAGTGTGACGCAGACTGTAGTCTTCAAAAAATTTAGGTAAAACTTTTTTGCGCTTGTGATTGAATTTCCCCCTCTAATAAAAAATACACATAAATTTTTACCATTTGACTCTTCGTCAAGAAGTAGAACGAAGCCCAAGAGACACTTCAAATAATTTAAAACAGCACAATGTTGAGTCAGTATTTGAATATATTACGTGGGGTTTATTTCCTGCCCAATTAAGGTCTTGTCGCATCTGAATGAAGCGCAGATGCCAGCCTGACCGCAAGGACACATACGTCTGTTAATGAGGTACTCCAGGTGATGTAGGCATCTACGTCAGCAGCTACATCTACTATCGCTCATTCATCTACTTCTGTATCTGTCTTATTGATTATATAAATTGCGCGTGCTGCCGAAAGGGTAATTCAAAATTTTATTCGTGCAATAATTGCCACTTCGATCGGTCATCGTTTCTTATGGAAGTTTGGTACGTCTCTACGTTAGTCGCATGCTGATATTTAATCAGTAATAAGGATTCTTCAGAAATATTATTGCCACTGTGACTGAAGGAAGGACCTACATTATTTTTTTAGTGCGTCCCTATAGTAACATCTCTGTATTCAATAATGATAAACTTATTACAAGCCGTTCAAGCCAGTGTATTACAATGTAGGATGTTTGTTGGGTTGGATAGAAAAATACTAGTGTTTGGTCAGATAAAAGGAAGGCTTGAAGAACATAACTCCAAAATTCGTTTAAAATGCAAATAACTTGTCAGCCTTAATTATTGACCAGCTTTAGATTTAGGTTTAATAACAAGGAATAAAAAACTTTACATTTCAATATTTTATCTGCAAAATATTCTCATGCAACGTCAATGTAGTTTTTAATCACAGTGAATGCACATTAATATGAGTGAAATTTACTATCAGTAGACATTATTTTACCATCATAAAAACTTGCAAACAAATGAGAATTTATGTAATATTATGCCCCATCTGCACGTACAAATAATGACTTGCCTACAATAACAAATTTTAACGTCGGTACAATTTTTACTCGCAAATTTCTTGCTGTAGAGCGTCTTGGTACTGGTATATTAATTGATTTAAGAGACCAAATATGAAACATGCTCGATTAAGGAGCCACGCACGACCCATCTGGTGGCTACATGTGAAGGTAGCCCTACTTGCAATGCCTCCCCCTTGTCAACGCTGATCAAAATATTTGCTAGAGACCTGTTAAAAAAAACATGCTAATATAGAATATAATAGTTCAAGAGTTCGCAACACTGTCAGCCAAACACTTACGGATGAATTTTTCAAGCTAAACCCAGGAGTGACGAACGAGAAATCACCGCGCCCAAGTGTACTTTATTAGACAGCTAACTGTACATAGTGAACTTGAAAAGTACAACCCCAGAGACAGATCTCATTTAGGAGTATCCCAACGGACAAGACTGTAGGGCTCCCACTTTACTTCTATTTAAAATGCATAAATGCCAATGTTTTGTACCCATTCCAGACAATTAAAGTGAAAGTTAACTTGCGATTATACTCCCAGACATGCAGTGTGTAATGTTTGGTGCCCACACAAACGGCTTAGTCTCTCCTTCTAAGCACCAATTCAAATCTATCTGGTCTGTTAATAATGCTCGTGGCAGGATCAGATTCTGATTTCAGCGCAGTGGTCGTCGCAGCTTCGAGCTTGAATCGGTGCAAGAGGGCCGCCGTGAAAAGGAAAAGTTGCATGCGGGCAAAAGACTCTCCCGGACATTTACGTCGGCCTGTCGATATTGTTTGTTTGCACCAAGTTAGTTAGAATTTAGTTAGTTTAGACACAAGACCGTTCGAAAAAAAAACGTTGAAAAAACGGTCGGGCCGGCAAATGAACCCGAGCCGATCATTGTCGAATTTCAAGGAAAGACCGGCCATCGGCAAAAACATCGGTAGACCGACCGTTTTTCCACCGTTTTTCGAACAGTGATAAATTGAATGTTTCGAATTAAATTAATAATTACAACGTATATAAGTCAATATAAACAAAACCAGAGCTTAAAAATAAGAAAAATTGCGATGTCCAACATGAGGTAATAAAAATTTACCGACTGAGAAGGGGGTGAAATTTTCCTTATCGCTGTCAAGCTTCCCATTTTCGTCCAGGAAATGTTCAGGGTAAAGTTGGTCAGGCTTTTGCCAGAAGGATTTATCTCTGTGGCCGATTTCGCTGCACGCTATCAGCAAAGTGTTCTGGCATATAATTGTTAAAATTAATTTATTTCAATACAATGAAAACACTGAACATTCAATGCTTCATTGTCAATTGTAAAATTTTACATTCATATATATGTTCAAATATAATTAAAATGAACAAAGGGAAAAGTGCTAAAATTTATGTTCTTTATATATTGTTAAGAACCTGTGGTATGGTATAGCCCTCGAATTCGACGTCATCTGTGGCGCGATGGATGAGCAGCAGCGGCATCATGGAGCTTCGTCTCAACACGTCCAGCACCAGCGCTTCTATATACGCTAAACTGCGACCATAATATTATTATGTTTTACTATGGTATTATGTCTTTTTACCATTTAGTCTTATTGTGTTACAATGTTAAAATCACTTGTTTGCTTGAATCGCAAGTTAACCAGGAATTTAAAAGCAAAGAAAATACCACAAAAATTCACCATATCTTTATAAGACATGCTAAATTTCTTGTGATTATTTGCATATATTTAAAGTTAAGATCGCTAATATTGACTGAATAACTTTGCAAAACCCTTATGGTTGAAAATGATTCACACGATGAGATACGCCTCTTCACTGGTGATAAAACTCTATTTGTATTGTCAGCAGTGAAGCGCAAGAAGGCATGCTAACGTCAGGATAGATGGTTAGGTAGAGCATCATCCAGCGCAGGGTGGAGGCGGTCGTGTCCAAGCCAGCTATAAATGCGTCATTCATCATGCCGCACAGCTGCTGAGCTGCAAGTAATCTTTGCTATTTAATGCAATGGATAGTATATACCGCAAATTTTATCACAGTAATTACTTAAAATGTCGTTTTGTCCTTTCTTGCGGACAGGGAGACACGCAATACTCACCATCGAAATGAGTGAGGAAGCCATTGGAGTCGCGTTCAGTTTTTTCCAGGAGGTAGTAATCTATGATGTCGCGTGGGTTGTCTGGGTCTAGGGATGTCAAATGTTCTCGAATTTTATTCTGTCGGAATTAGAGATCGCAAATCAATTAATGCAATATAAGGTATTCTTTCTCTTTCTTCTGGTCCTCTTTCATCCTCTTCGTATAAGGTAATAATAAAGCAGAAGAAAGTTTTAAAATTATCAGCTAGGCCACAATGTTTGCATTGCACAAGTGAAGATATAGAAATAGATGTTTTCGCTCACGAGAACTGGAAGCATTTTAAGATCCATTTTAGTCAAACAATCATTGCAAACTCGAAATCGATCATTTTGCTTTTACCTCAGACATTTTGGTCAGCTCTTTAAAGTAATTTTCTCCCACATCGAAGTCGAATAACGAGTTGAGGATGAACGTAGGTAGGATTTTTGGCAACACAGGAATAACATCAAGCAGAAAGATTTTCTTCCGAGTAACGCGCAGCATTATATCCAGGACTTGAACATATTGCACTATTTCAGGGTCACCCACGTCGTATCGCTTACCTGCATAGATTTTAAAATGCAGTACTTGTTAGATGACTTGTATAGGTCAAGCACGATTTACAAAAGGGCAAACGAATTCTGAAAGGCAGCATTACAGTTACTCTGCATCTTACTTGTAAACATCAGCCATAGTACGTTGATAATTGCCGTGTTGAGAGCGCTGTCTATGACTACAGGTTTATCGAGGCAGTTCTTCTCGAGATGGTCCATCAGCAGCGACGCCTCATCTTCTATGGCGTCCCCGAGGAAAGTCTTACCCATGCCCAGGTTCCGCAGTTGAGTGAGGAAAAAATGTCGGTTCTCTGACCACAACAGCCCGTCCGTTAAAGCCACTCCTGTAATAGTTAACAAACGTTAGATGCTCCTCTGAAAATTAGAGGAGCAAGTTACTTATATCGAAAGAATATGTTTTATATGCCAACTATATCAGTTAATGATGCCATTAGACTACACTCGCTTACCCCTCTTTTCATACTGCTGCACTATTCTGAATGACAAGAAGTCAGGCCTCCCATGAAAGCTTGGATGTTGAAAGGCTTTCCTGATGAGACTGCATTCGGTAAGAACGACGATAGGATAAGCGCCCCATTTCGTGCTGTGAAGATGACGTGTTAGAAAGAACCTTCCGCATGCTGCATTTGATTATTCGTTTCTTGAAAACTATTTACTGGGAATGATGCTAACCTCAACTAGTATAACATAATATAACTGTACAGTAAAATCGTATCCATGAGTTATATGAGAGTGAATTGATTAACCTAAGAGCTCAAGATTCTGCTAAATAAATCTAGAGGCTAGAGAAAGCATAGGCTTTGTGCCTGATTCAATGAGTTAAAGAGGATACCAATAGTGCTTACCGGGGTATCACTAGGCTTAAGGACATGGGGCTAAACCCCCAGCTTTCAAAATCACTTAAAACAGGTGGGCTAATCCTCTCGGTTTTAAAGACAGAAGGGCTCAGCCCCAGTTCTCAGGGACAGGTGGGCTAGGCCCCAGCTTTCAAGAACAGGTGGGCATTGTGGGCTAAACCTCTCGGGTTTTAAATACAGAGGGGCTAAGCATCAGTTTTCAAGAGCAGTGAGGCCTAAACCTCCAGGTTTTGAAGAAAGAGGGGCTAAGCGCCAGGTACTAAGGAAAGAGGTGGCTAAGCCCAAGATTTTAAAGACATGGGGGCTGAGCCTGGAACAGAGCCTGGAACTTTAGAGCCTGGAAGTTTTGAGAACAGAGGAGGCTGAACCTGGAAATTTTAAGGACAGAGGGAGTGTGCCCCAGACTTTAACCCTTTACGCACTGAATTATGTTTCGAAAGTGAAAAAAACAATCTGAATTACTTTTCAGATCACGCGCAGTCTTTGTGTTGTACTGGCAGTAGCGGCGCGCCTACTCCATCGAACGTCGTTAGAGCTAAACCTCCAAGTTAATTACAAAGGGAGGGCTAAGCCCCCAGGTTTTTACAAACAGAAGTGACTAAGACCGAGGTTTTATGGACAGAGCGGACTAAGCTCCCAGATTTTAACGACAAGGGGGCTAAACCAACAGGTTTTAAGAACAGAGAGGCTACCCGGCTATGCCACCAAGTTTAAAGGAAGAGAGAGGCTAGGTTCCCAGATTTTAAGGACAAGGGGCTAAACCCACAGATTTTAAAGACAGTGTGGCCAAGCCATAAAGTTTTGAGAACAGAGGTGGCTGTGCCTGGAGGTTTTAAGGACAGGGGAGTGTGCCCCAGACTTTAAGGACAGGGGGCTAAGTTCCAGCTTTTTTAAAGACAGGTGGGAGATTCTCTCTGAATTACGGACAGAGGAGATGAATGCCTCAAGATTCATGCTCATATTAAGTGTTATATTGAATGGTTGTACGATTATTTATTCAAACTTGTGTAGAGGCCACATTATATTTAATTTGTCAGCAGTATTTTCTTAATGAAAAAAATTTAAAAATGAACATCGACTCTCGCAATAACCTCCTAATTTCCAACCGAATAGGATATGTAGTCGATTTGCACCTGATTCACCTCTAAGCCGAGTTGATGGAGCCTAGGGCGACCCTGAGTGGAATCCGAAATTCGACTGGAAGGCGGCTAAACCCACATATTTTTAGAACAGTGTGGATAAGCCATCTTATTTGAGAACAGAGGGAGCTAAGCTCCAGGTTTTAAGAACAGGCCGGCAAAGCTTCTTTGATTTAAGGACAGAGGAGGTGAATGCCTCAAGATTTATGTTCGTAATAAGCTTAATAATGAATGGACAGAATGGTTGTATGATTATCTATACAAACTGGTGTAGAGGCCACATTATCTTTAAAAAAGAGGTTTAAAGGGTGCTAAAGCTCCCTTTAACATGCTTAATGAAGCCTTAGGGCGCCAATGTTCAGCTTATCAGATATCAAATCTGTTAATTGGCCTCTTTAGCTTGAAATGTTGTTGCTGGTGTTTTGGAGAAACTACGTAGATAATATTTCATTACCATTTTGTGATACTACTTCAATAATATTTCGTGATAATATTTCAAATTACCGTTTATTGCACTTCTCACCACAGGAGTCACTCACGTAAAGATATTTCCGTATCGCACCGTCGCACGCTCACGTTCTTCAAATGGTCTGACAACGTCAACTTCCCGGACGGCAGCGCGCCCAACACCGGCCAGCCGTACGACCCTACTTGATGGAATTGCTATTAAGAAAAAAGTATATAAATGGAATTTCTATAAATTATTTTTTTTCTCCTATTTATTCGGTACCTTCTAATTCAAAAAGGATCCAATAACATATACTAATAAACTTGAACATAATTTTCAGTATATTATTTAAAGAACTTTGAGAAGGAAAAAATATGACTCGATCAGTCCTCACTGTAGTGAGTGACAGCGCATTTTCTCGTCGACGAAAACGTGAAGTCACGGACGGACNTAGATGTGTATAAGAGACAGTCACTGAACTGAACTGAAATTCGGTTATTCTCTGGCACGGATCATAAAAAAAATGCGAAAAGAGTTCCGAAAACGGCACAGTAAAAAGTTAAAAATTTAGAAAATTGGGACCACAAGCGTCCTCTCTCGACCACAGCTGAACGGAGACTGTACATACTTTTAAGTATTTTATTTAAAAACTTTGAGAAGGAAAAAATATGACTCGATCAGTCCTCACTGTAGTGAATGACAGATAGCGCATTTTCTCGTCGACGAAAACGTGAAGTCACGGACGGACGGACATGGCGAGCACAATAGAGCATTTTTTTCATAAATGAGAAAATGCACTAAAAAGGGATCCGACTCAAAATATGTTCAACATTACTTATAAATTCTAAACTGTTGCCGTTCGTCTGGTACGTACTATAATAGAGTTAAATTCTTTATTTACTTTAGCTCCATGTGTTATTCCTATAAGTTAATTCACTTCGAGTGATCACATTTTCTTCGTGACAAATTATAAATTCATTACAATGTTTTCATAAATTTGGATGCAGCCTCCCTCATTAGCGCGTAAATATGCCCGAATCATTTTTTAAAATATGTCGCGAAAAAGAGAACATAGTTACACACGGAAAAAACGTTGCGTGAGGCTTATAAGTTGAGGATATCCACTTTAATCACTGATGATCAACATTCGTTTTTAATTTGTCTCGTAATATTAAATCAGACAGACTCTTGCTATCAGAGACTCTTGCTATCAGACTCTTGTGATAGCAAGAGTCTCACTCACCTGGGGGCATGGAGGGAGGCTTTCTGTTCCAATATCCCAACAGAGCTAAAGAGACAAGCAAGAGAATTGCTACGAACATGATCCTTGCAGTAGATTTCTTTCGTTATAGTAACCTGTGAAAAGCAAATTATACATATACTCGTTAGATATTATGTTTGGTCTCATCGGATAAAACACGCTATCCGAAACCTTACTAAATTCAATTAGATTCCTTACTCTCACATTACTGTCGTAGTAGTAGTAATCTGTATATTACAGTTTCTAAATATATAATTATTGCTTCTAAGTCTGTAATTATAGCCTATGAGTCAGTAATTATAGCTTTTAAGTCAGTAATTATAGGTTTTAAGTCTGAAATTACAGGTTTTAAGTCTGTAATTATAGCTTCTCAGTCTGTAATTATAGCTTATAGGTCTGTAATTATAGCTTCTAAGTCTGTAATTATAGCTTCTAAGTCTGTAATTATAGCTTCTAAGTCTGTAGTTCTAGCTTATAGGTCTGTAATTATAGTTTCTAAGCATATAATTACAATTTTCAAATCAGTAATTACAGTTTCAGAGTCTGTAATTATCAATTTTAAGTCAGTTATTATCGCTTCCTAGTCCNATAACTCTGTTGTTGGGTTGGAGATAAAAAATAATTTTTTTATTTAGTATTAATTGCTCTAGACGCTGCCTATTTTTGTGTTTGTCGCAGTGTGAAATTTGTGTGTGTTTGTCACTGCCTATGTTTTATTTGTGTTTATGTGAAATGTTTGTAAAGTCATTTTAAAAACTGAGTTTTGTAGTTTGTCATTGATTAAAGCACACTGTAGACTCAACGCATTGTTTCCGGACCAATTGTAATAAAAATATTCCCATTGAATTTTAGCAATCAGAATTGTTATGTGTTACTGAAGACTCCTGCTTACACTGCTTACCCTGCTCTGCTTACTCTGCTCTGCTTACCCTGCTCTGCTTACCCTGCTCTGCTTACCCTGCTCTGCTTACCCTGCTCTGCTTACCCTGCTCTGCTTACATTTACCCCTTTAACTCTTGTGGTAGAAACCGTGGCCAAAAGTTATTTGTCGAGCAAATCAGGTTATTTCTTGAAATTTAATCTCACTCTTAAAGTGAAAACTTTCATTCGTTCATTGCCTGACATTTCATCGCGAAGTTGCCACCAGGTGCTTGTGTTAGTTCAAATAATATGTGTTTAAAAATTACATTTTGAAGACAACACTTCTAAAGAGGCCAGTGTTTCTTATGTTACTAATGTACAATGAATTTCTTATGTGAAATAAATTAAAAAATTATTTTTCAACATATTTTCTGTTATATAAAAAAATAATTACTTATTCTGTCAATTGATTCATGCATTGTTTCCGACTTCACGCAAGCGTGCACAATATCAGATCAATTGGGGAGGTAGAAGTGTGTTAAATATCGATTATAAGATTTGTCGCAGGCAAACAAACAAACAAACAACAAGAAGTGAAGTTAAAGAGAAGTGTGGTAGACAGTAAAAATTTTTTTATTTTTCGGTAGGTTTCTGTTCGTAAAATTTGCTATCCGCGGTCCGCCTCGGTTCTCGTAAAATCGGTTACGGTGTGAAAGTGGCTTGAAATCCAGCCTATAGCCTCAGGCCACGATGTATGTAGAAACTTCCAATTATTAGGCAACTTTTACTGCCATTACATAACTTAGCACCAGTATTCGAATATCCCTTCCATGTATTCCAGGTAAGCTGTAAGGATTAAAAGTTTGATTAATAACTTAAAAGTTTAATAAATAAATGAAATAATCACAGCCTAAATAAGTAATATGAGCCCTCACAACATGTGGTATTGCCTCCACTTGGCTGAATATATCTTCATTCAATCGCTCCGCTGCCACAATAGGACAAAAACCTACCGATTTTTTCATATAGGTAAAAGGATAAATCAAAACAAAAAGAACTTGATATTTTTGAAATTTCACTGAAACTTACAATAATAATCGTATTTACTTGAATAGTTTTGTTTAGATGACCATAATGATCATGATTTTCTAGCGATGTTTTATTCGTTAAAGGTTCTCTTTGATGAAGGCGAAAGAGTTCATTTCTATATCAAGAAAGATGTTTGAAGTAGTGTTTGGTGTTGCCATTTTTCACCTTATCGCTTTGTATATTAGAACTAAATTCTATCACGACTTCATGTTATTGACATCAAAATAAGCCTCAAGTCTGAAATATCAGAATCTTAAGTTAGTAATTTCAAGTTCTAAATTAGCATTCTCAAGTTCTAAGTCTGCATAAAACCACTCATCTAATCTTTTTGAAAGGGTATTTTCAATTTCTACGTCTTCAATTTTAAGTTATATATAATTAATCTCATTGTCTACGTCTGAAATTTTATGTTCCAATCTTGTAATCTCACATTCTTAATTTTATAATTTCAAGATCTAAGTTTATGATCTGAGAGAAACTATAATTATAACTTCAAAGTCATTAATTTTAATTTCCAAATCTATAATTACAGTTTCTAAGTGTATATTTATAGTGTCAAAGCCACTAATTATAATTTCTAAGTCTGTAATTATAGCTTCTGTGTATGTAATTATGGCTTATAAGTCAGTTATTATAGTTATTAGTCTTTGATTATAGTTTCTAAAGTCTTTGATTATATCTTTTAAGTCTATATTTATTATAGTTTTTATTTCTATAATTACAATTTTTAAATCAGTAATTATAGTTTCCAAGTCTGTAATCTCAGGCTAAATCTTTGAATAGTCATGTCGCATAGTCATAGTCGCACTCATGACGAATAAACATTTTGGTGTAGGGATGTAAAACAATACTGATTGAAACACACGTGTAGCTTTGCCATCTTTTTTCATGCATAATCATTGTCTATTTCGTTTGTTAAAATCGCATTGTCGTTTGTTTTAGAAAGTCTCTTACAGCGATTTGAAATATTATGAACATCATCACTCAACGATTAATCATTATTTAAAATCACACACTAGCACTAGAACTATGTGAAGAGCAACTCAAAGCATTCCCTTTAAATCATTTGTATATTGAAGCAAACATAAAGTTTAATAAACAACATATTCCTTAATCCATATTCTTCATAAAGATACAATATATTCAAATTATCATCGGTTTTTGTTTGACTTCGTATAAAGCTGCTGCACTGCGAGCTTCTTTTTATAGTTCCAGCCGTAGAAAAGTACTGGGGCCTCTTAGGGTACATTTTTTTCATTGTGGCAGAGAGAGCTCTGCAAAGTGCTGGCCTGCAATCAGACTATAATCAGCAGCAAAACCTACGTCGGCTTTGCATCACACAGCTACGCAGTGCAAATAACTGCGAAGTAAATAATTGTATCGAGTTGACCCATACAGGATATTTTTAGTACAAAGAAGACACCTTTTTCATAGACATGCACTAAGCACGTAACATGAACAACATAAACATTTACTTCTATCTTCTTGACATGATACTTTAAACTATATTGAATTTAAACTGAAACCCTCATTCGTCCCCTCTTTTTTGGGGGACGGGGGGGTTCGATTGCTAAAAGTGTATACATTTGAAACAACTGAAATGAGTTTCACTCACTTGAACCTGCATCAGCTCAGGCATTAACATTGTCTTTTGTCATCGTCTAATTAGGACCAAACTTTGTCTTATGTGTTTTTATTCTTTGTTACTTGTTGTTGTTAATGTTATTATTATGATTGTTATTATTATTATTATTATTACTATTGTTATTGTCATTTTTATTATTTTTGTTCACGCAAAGTCCTCGAGTAAAATGAATCGCTGAGCCTCGTCATTGAATTAATCTTAACGAATAAATTTAATATCCGAGTAATCAAGGACAAACGAGTTCTCCAGGC